GTTGTTATCCCTATTTATTTTTTTTATTTTTTAAACAGTGAAATTAATAACAACCAGTCTAAATCCTACTAAAGAAAAATTGTGGCACTGACATTAATTAGACCTGCATCCCTTTTTTCCATCAGTTTGGCCACAGAGACCAGCCTGACAGAGTAAAGGTTGAATAACCTATTTAAGGAAACCACGTTTCTAGTTGGGGCTTGTAAAACTCTATATCCGCTCGTTTCAGTTTTGTACCTGAATGTAAACAACAGTCATTTTTTTAAAGGAATTTTCATCCAACATTATCTCTAATTACAATAAACATTGTTTTTAGTGGGAAAAAAAAAGAAAGTTATAGCAACTCAAACACGTGTACACACTAAAAATATCATTTATAGTAATAAGAAATATAAACATAATATAAATATGATATAATTCACATATGCAAAATGTTATCATGTACGTATATATATATATATATATATATATATATATATATATATATATATATATATATATATTATAATTAAGGTCATCTTTTTTTCTTAATTATTTCATTAATATTTGCTCTGTTGTTACATTGAGGTCTCTGGATTACATCCTTTTCATTACTATATATATATATATATATATATATATATATATATATATATATAGTCCCCTTCAAAAGTATTGGAACTTCAATTCTGTAGCACCAGTTCACAAATTTAGAAGTGTGGTCTTTGCCAAAACCCACAGGTGGTATAAAATTTGGCAAAATTGAGGCATGAAACAAGAAAAAATGATGATGATGATGATGATAAATTAGAAGAAAGAAATAAAGTTGGCAGTCTAATTGAAGCCAAGTTTGGTTTGGCATGAACTGCATGTGAGTGTCTAGTCATAGTCATTAGATTCAAGCTCCAGTTGGTAAAATGACAATCAAGTGGCTCATTGAGGCTCGTTATGCTCTTTTCTTTGAGGAGACAAAGCTAATAAAGAAAGGAAATTGACCAATAAGTTGAAGGTAAAATCTAATTATAAGTTTGTCAAGCATTGGAACAACTTTTTCTAATTCAAAATGAAAGCAATATTAATTAACACTTTATTCAAGTGGGAACCAAGCAAATTCTTTTATTTTTTATTTTATTTTGATATTAGAACAGTGAAATATATATATATTTATATATATATATAATAAAGAAAATAAGTATACCATAAGAACTTGAAAATCTATAAACAGAGCCAGTATAAGAAATATTTAAAAAAAATTCTTTTTTCATTTTTTATCATCATATAATTCCTGTAACGGTGCTGCCTTCTCTCCATATCTCCCACTAAGTCTCCTATAATGCCCTCTCTTTCTCCTTCTTTCCCCAACTAAGCAGTATCCCACTACAAACTGATACCATAAACAGTTTGAAAAATCCTGTGATTTTTTAAAATTAAAATGTGTAGGTGAAAATGTACATTAACTACATTTTAAATTTCTTCTTGAGAATAATTGTTTTTAATTTTTGCTGAGGCAGAAAAAAACCTACAATCCAGAAGTGAACATCTAAAAATAAATGAGTTTTGATTAATTTCAAATGATATTAACTTGATAAATACTTGGAGTTAGGACAAAGTTAGATCAGTTCTGAAATTATGAAACAGTATTCTTTTAGACCAGATATAGACCATATCAATTTGGAAACGTTCCAAAGAGGTCAAAATGTCCACTTGTGAGCCCAGTGTGTCAGAAAGAGCTTGTTTGTTGTGCACAACCAAATCATTTTGTGTCCAGCACACAAATTTGGTATACAGACTGACTGAAAACAGGGGAAGGTTTTAACATGAAAATAATTTTTTGGTTCCTCATGGGGCAAGTGGTGCATGAAAAATTTCCTATTATGTTTTTTTTTATAGTAACTATTACCATTTGTAACCATTTGGTGTAAAACTAAGTTCTCTTTAAGGATTAATGTCTGACAAGGAAAATATTTTTGTTTCAAAAAGCCATTTCACTGAACAATTCCTACTCCTGTATTTTTGATCTTCATGGCCAGTGTTGCTGAAAATGAATAATAACAATAAAGAATAATATCAACAAAGATAAATAGCCATTTTTTAGTCATAAATTTTTTTCATCTTGCCATAAAATGTTATTCAAATCAAATTATGCTTTGTTTCATTAAGCAATAATTGGTATGTAGTTCTTTACAAGGATCTCTCAGTTAATTGGCTCAGTATAATAATGTATTACTAAACATTATTATCTAGTGAATGCACATGTTTGAGTTTACATCTATCAGCTTCTACATTCAAGAATTTTAATAAAGAAAATGTGCTTTCTGTCAGGTTTTGAACCAGTGTTTCTTGAGATACTTTAGATCACTCAGGAATGGAAAGTTTGAGTAGACATCCTTGTTTTTTAAATAGTGTAAATTTATGCCTACCAATCTGTGCATTCAAGAGCCTTAATAAAGAAGATTGTAGTTTTAGTCAATAATGCTCACATTAATATGACAACAACATTTTATTTTCATTTTTAATATAAAAGTATACAGATTGTTCAAATAATTTTCTGGTTGAAAATGAGTAACTAAATTATCAAATTCTACTTCTAATCACTAGTGTGATTTTTGCATTTTGAATTTATTTGAACATGCATAAATGACTTTACCTGGATGTGGGCAGTGAAACGAGAATAATCTACCCATAGAGATTATAATTCCCTAGTCCCATCAGTTCTAACATTCATGGCTAAGACCTGCCACCCTCATTCCCTTTCTATTTCATTAGTGAAATGTAAGTTTCACTTGAGCAGCTACTTCCCACATACTGCTGTATTGTGGAACCGATTCTCAATAAGATGGTTCTCCAATCACTACAACCTTAAACTGTTCAAGTTTAGAGTTAACTGTTATCTTTCCTACATATTCCCATAAAGTGTCTCTGTGTAACCTCCACCTTGAGTGGCTCTTCAATCTTGTAGAGAGTAAACATTTTTGTAATAAGAAAAAAAAAAAGAGTTCCGTTTGAAATTTGCTTTAGATCACCCAGATCGACATACACCAGATGAAAGCCAGAGGTCCTAACAGCTGAAATCTTGTAATAAGACAAAAAAAATGAGAACAATAGTTTGCATGTAAACAATGATAATTCTTCACCCCACTTTTCTTCCACTAAAAATAGTCCTCACAAAGATTGGGCTATCATAAATTCTTTCGAAAAGAGTACAAAAATGGACACATTTTACTCTCATGACTCTGAAGGTTATAGTTGATTTTATCACAGATTACAAATAAACTAGTTTATGCATACTGTCAAAAAATAATGACAGCATTTAAGTAATTTTGCAACTGCACTGGTTATATTTTTTGCACAACTGTGTGATTTTTATCCATATCTATTGTCACATGTAAGAAAGAATTATGTTTCTTAAATCATTAAAAGTAAAAATATCTAAAGTATGTTAAAATGATGCAAAAATAAATAAAAAGCAATCTATTAGCAACCTGATTTCCCCTACTATCTAATAAATTCTGGTTTATGATAAGCTGAAGCAGATTTACTTATTGATATTGAGTTATGGTTCTATTTTAAAGTTCACCCAATTCAAAAAAGAATCTGCAATGTTATCAGTTCTGACTTGACATCTCAGCTTCAGTCACTTTCCCACTAATGTAATGTAGCTTTCCTGTGCCTTTTCTATAAATATTTTCATGATAATTGTTCTGATGAGTTTTCCTCTTTACAAATTTAAATGCAGTACTAGATTGGCAGCTAGGTCTTATCATTTTACAAATAAAATTGTTAGATGTAATCATGTTTTCTGCTAACAGTTTCTTCTCATACATTTTACTTGTGGAACACTCTTCCAACTTTTTTTCCAGTCAATATTGATCTTCAAAAATGTAAATGCAATATCAATCATTATCTTGTGTCTTTTTAATTCCTGTTTGTTTATTTTCCTCATAATAATATTTGTTTTTCTCATATTTTTCATACTCAGTAACTTGTTGCATCTTAGTGGCTTTATTGCCTTACTTGGAGTGAAATGATTTAAAAAAATGAATTACTGAATGAGGTGTGTGATATGCATGCAATTGAAAGTGGTAAAAAGTGAATATTATGAAAATAAGGGGGATATATAATGACTGACCTTTGACTCTTCAGTAGTATTCAGGGAAACAGCCATACAGTAGGAGTCTATTCCACAAAGTATCAGTTCTTGGAAAAAATTGTCTGAGTGGAACTTCCTCTTTGGAATATGGAGGAAAATGAGGGTGATTAAACAGAATGGATGTAGAATAGCGTGTCTTGTAAAGATCTGTTAAAATTAGAGTATATCTCATTTCTAAGGAGGAAAGATCAGGTTGCATGATCGTTAAATATTTGAAGTCAGTGTATATTAGATATTAGCAAATACATTTTACATTATAGACTTTGTTGAATTTGTTTTCAAGCTGAATCTACTTTGGAAATTTTGGTATTTGTTTATTTTCTAGATATGCTTTTGAGTGAATGTTTCAGAATATTTGTTTAATATACCCCTGACCACCAAGATATCACAGGTTTTATAAATAAGTAGCAGTTAAATCAAAAAAGCAGTGGCTATGTTATACACTAAATAAAGATCCTCCAAGTGGAATCAATTTTCCAGACATCATGCTTTAAGAAAGTGCTTCAAGGTAAAGCTGATAAAATTCAAAACCAGCCTATTGTAACTTCTCCATGCCAAGTGATTCTTCAGTCTAAAGTAGGAACTTAGAATCTGCATTTCTCTGGTAAAAGATTGTAATCAGATTGTTAATGGAAATAAAACAAGGTTGGTCTCATCAGTAGATTTGGAGGTTGGTCTCATCAGTAGATTTGGAGTTTGGTCCATCTCTTCTGTACTGGGCATGTAATCAAATTGAGAGATTCAAAACAGACCAAACTTTGTGTTTGTTTCAAGTCAGGAAAGAATTGCTATGGTATTCTTTCAATCTAGCTTCTTGATACCAATCTTGAAGTGAGCAGAGTGCATGAGTTAGTTTCTCATCCAAGAATATTCAATTATGAGAATATACAGTGTTTTGATTGGATGAAAAACAGTGAACAAAAATACAGAAGAGAAAGGGGGAAAAAAGAAAGGTGAAAATATAGTCTTTTAATAGGATAAGGAGAAAGCATTGAACAAAAGTATGAGAGAGAAAGAGAAAAGAGGAAGTGTCAGAATATATGACCTTTTGATTGGATAAGGAGAAACATGCATTGAACAAAAATAGGGTTAGAGAAAAGACTAGAAAGGGAACAAAGAAAGGGGAGAATATATAGCTTTTTAATTGGATGAGGAGAAAAATGCAGTGAAGAAAAATAGGGTAGAAGGAAAGTAGGAAGCAGAAAGGGGGATAAAAAAAGGAAGAAAATACAAAGAGAAATATAGAGCCTTTTGATGGGAGAAAGAAAAACATACAGTGATCAAAATAAAGGAGGAAAGTGAAAGAGAAAAGGAAAAAAAGAAAAGAAGAGAGAAAGGAAGAATAAAAAGAAGAGAATATATAGACTTTTGATTGGATAAAGAGAAACATGTTTGATTGAAATAGGGAGAGAAAGGTGGGAGTGAAGAGAGGGGAGAGAGAAAGTAGGGGATATACAGTCTTTTGATTGGATAAAGAGAAACATGCAGTGATTGAAAAGAAAGGAGGTAGAGAAGAGACAAAGGGGGAAATAAAAAGAAGGAAGAGAAGAAAGAAAGGATAAAGAGAGAGGAAAGGGGACAATATATAGCATTTTGATTGGATAAGGGGGAACATGTAGTGAACAAAATGAGAACTGTAAATTGTTTGAGAAAACCAGAATTGATAATTAGACATGTATATCTATCGCAATCTACACATACGCACAAAGGTGTGGTGTGTGTGTGTGTGTGTGTATATATATATATATATATATATATATATAAAAAAATATGTAAATTTGTATATCTACTGCTATATCAACAGTAACAAATTTCAAATCTGATGATAACTCTGTAGTCAGAGGTGGTTTTTAGGTTGAAACATCATTAAAACCCAGGGTACTCCAGCAATACCTCAGGATATTACCAGGCTCTGTTGGTTTTCTGTCACAATGTGAGAATGACAGATGAATACAGATATATGAACTTCATAATATATGTATATATATATATATATATATATATTTGGAACCTCTTTTTTTTAAAAACTAATTTTCACCCAAATCAAGGCCAAAAGACCCACTCATAGTAAATGGTTACTGAATGAGCTATGAAATGAATGTAAGAGAAAGAAGTAAGAAGAAATGAAGATTATTATGATATAGAGGATAACTAATGATTATTGATCCGAGACTAAGATCATAGCGTTATGTGAATTATTACATGGGAATCTGCTCCACAAAATAGAAACTCTTGAGCGGAGAAGGTGATTGGAACATCCTTCTTACAAATGGAGTATGTGTGAGCTGGTGACACTAAAGAGTGGAGGCAGCACTAGAGAAGCATAGACTTGTAATGTTATGTGTGGGAGGAAAAGCAGATATAGTTATTGGGGAACACAAGAAGGGCTAATGGTCTATAATACTAGCTTGTTAACCATTACCCCACCCCCAGGGGCACCATTTAACACTTATTATCTTTGAGTTTATTTGATTAGAATCTTCATAGTTCAATTCTTACTTTCCATTCTTGGAAATGATCAAATATAATACTATTAAGTCTGATGAGAAGACACATCCTTGTCTTACACCCCATTTCTATTTTTGTATATCTGCTGAACTCATTCTCTATATGTATGCATGCAGTTTGCTGCCACTCTAGGTTCTTGATTATTCTAATATCCTTCCCAAATATGTCAAGATCGCTGAGCAGTTCCAAGACTTCAAAACTTTGATTAAAAAAAAAAAGAAATGTAATTACCTCACTAAACTCTTCTCATTCTCTTTCACTCTCAGTAACCACTTGCATCTTAGTGGCTTTATTACCTTGCTTGTGATGAAATGATAAAAAAAGTGATTCTGATACAAAATGTCATGACTTTTAAAAAAAAGAATTTAGGTAAATGTCTTCTAGATATGAGTCCAGTGCATTTTAGACTTGGTACTTACAAGGAGAGATAATTTACTATTGAAAAGAAATTCATAGGATAGAATGTAATCATACCTTGACTATTATTAATTTCTGTCTGCTTGCAAGAGGGATAATGATGATCACATCATTCTCATATCAATTTAACTTGTTCTCCCAGCAAGATTCATTTTATTGCCTTTGTAAATCAAATTGGACAGACAGAATTTGATATTCAGCATCACTAATTATTTCTATTTTTTTGAGGAGGGTCGAAGGTGTAATATCATAATGAAGAAAAATATCACTGTCTACTATCTTAACCTGCTAATACTATTTCAGAAACAGGATTAAAAAATATCACTGTCTACTACCTTAACCTGCTAATACTATTTCAGAAACAGGATTAAAAAATATCACTGTCTACTACTTTAACCTGTTGTGGTGGTAACACAACGACTCAACTGATAGTAGCAGATAGGAAAAAACTGCTAGGAGGGTAACTGACAAAACAGTGTCACATGTCCAACCTTCTCACGAGCAAAAAACCCAGTGAACAGAAACAAAAACCCCCCTGCTTGATACAGCTGAGGACCGACCACGATTTGCATGCGAATGACGGGACAATGAGATTTCGCGTTAACTGTCTGAGACCGTCTGGCATAAAACATGGGCGCCGCCATTTTGGTTCCTTTTACCGTTGAGCAAACCGGAGTTTGCACATTGCACAGATTCACAGGCGTTTCCGAAGTAGGCCATTTTCACAATTTTCCCCACACCTGTTAATATTATTTCAGAAACAGGATTAAAAAATATCACTGTCTACTATCTTAACCTGCTAATACTATTTCAGAAACAGGATTAAAAAATATCACTGTCTACTATCTTAACCTGCTAATACTATTTCAGAAACTGGATTAAAAAATATCACTGTCTACTACTTTAACCTGTTAATACTATTTCAGAAACAGGATTAAAAAATATCACTGTCTACTATCTTAACCTGCTAATACTATTTCAGAAACAGGATTAAAAAATATCACTGTCTACTATCTTAACCTGCTAATACTATTTCAGAAACAGGATTAAAAAATATCACTGTCTATTTTCTTAACCTGCTAATACTATTTCAGAAACAGGATTAAAAAATATCAGTCTACTATCTTAACCTGCTAATACTATTTCAGAAACAGGATTAAAAAATATCACTGTCTACTACCTTAACCTGCTAATACTATTTCAGAAACAGGATTAAAAAATATCACTGTCTACTACTTTAACCTGTTAATACTATTTCAGAAACAGGATTAAAAAATATCACTGTCTACTATCTTAACCTGCTAATACTATTTCAGAAACAGGATTAAAAAATATCACTGTCTACTATCTTAACCTGCTAATACTATTTCAGAAACTGGATTAAAAAATATCAGTCTACTATCTTAACCTGCTAATCCTATTTCAGAAACAGGATTAAAAAATATCACTGTCTACTATCTTAACCTGCTAATACTAGTTCAGAAACAGGATTAAAAAATATCACTGTCTACTATCTTAACCTGTTAATACTATTTCAGAAACAGAATTAAAGGCATTAATGGTTAATGCGTAGATGGTGTAATGAATAGGGGCTTGGATTGAATAATTGACAAACCGAGTTTCAATTCCAGTCAGGTTCGTTATATTTACTTGTATAGAAATACCCTTGGGAAAGGTATGAATCCATCTTTTCTCCCCCTTCTATGGGTTAAATAGTAGGATAAACTGGCCTTAGTTAGCAACCAGTCTAAAGATGTAAAATATTGGGCAGAGTGAATGTGTTTGTGTGGAAACACATCGCACTCTAAGGGAAGGAAATCCCTGACAATAAACCAACTCTTCCTTAGAGTAGAGAGTTTGGGCATCGGACATGTTTCACTCTATGGAGTTACTGAGAGTAAAAGTGAACAAGAAGACTTTTGTGAGGAGAAAGGACAATAAAAGAACACAATTCAGGAAGACAGAAGCTGGCGATTGACGTTGCCTTTAAATTTTTTAAGAATATCGGTGGCAGAGAAGAAATTGGAAGTGAGTTCCAGTAGGAAGAAGTGTAAGCAAAAAGTGTTACAATAGAACTTATGGTTACATCTAGGTATTTCAACTATAAAACAATGGAACCTAACTGCCAATCTAGTAGTACACTTAGATTCATACAATTGAGGTACCATTAGAACAACTGCCATGAAAATATTTATAAAGGCAGAGAAAGCTAAGAATCCATACCTTCTCCATCCCTTGCACTATGGGTTAAATAGCAAGACAGACTAGGAACTTCAGCCTTGGTTGGCAACCAGTCTAAGAGAAGGAATACACTCGTTAGTATGGGAACATATGGTTATCTTAGGGAAGGAAATCCCTTACAGTAAACCAATACTTTCTCAGAAGACCGAGAGTGGGCATAGGGAATGTTTCATCTTGTGGAACAATTCAGTTACAGATTGATTTATTTTTTAAAGGTTATTAACCTTTTGCAGGTTATTTAAAGCCAGAAAATATTCAAAGATTGTAAGAAGTTATTTGAGATAATAATTATTTTACTGATACAAGTCCAACTAATTAACCCATATCTGAAGGGAGAAGAGGTGGATTTATACTTTTTCCAAGGGTACTTGCATGTAAGTGAATATAATGAACCTGACTGGAATTAGATCTCAGCTCTTCAATTTCCAATTATGAGCCATTATCCATTATACCAGCTGCACATCAAAGTTTATAGCACATGGTATTTCCAAGCAATCACCCATCCAAGTATTGATTAGGCTCAATATTGCTTAAACATTACAGAAACTTGATCAGAGACCTTATGTACCACAAGGCACCAGGCATATAGCACTAGATAGAACCATATAATCAATACTGGATTTTTTTTCTTCTTTTACTGAATTCTTATTTAATTTTTTTAAAATTAAAATGGGTTTTCATAGAAGACTGTAACTGGTTAAAAAAAATGGGATATCAGGTGCATCAATAGGTCAGTTCAGCATCCTGTATCTTTGATAGAATATGTAATCAGAAGAACCACCAGGATCCACCTGTTAATACCATGACACCAGACATGGCACCTCACCTAAGCTTGTGAAGTTGCTAATTAGACTGTTGGATGACTGTTTCAGTTTTAAGCTTTCTAGCATGAATGATAACTAGAATGTTGATCTAGTTCTGATAACTTTCTTTCATGCTCTTATGCCCAGCATGGATTAGTAGTCAGTCTAACTGACTTTTTCAATAAGTGCCCATTAAGATGTTTTGACCAACAAAATTAAAAGCAGGACCACATATTAATGTATAAGCATAAGTGATCTTAGGTGAAGAAAAAGAGAGAATATCTTTTTTTAAATGTGTGTTTTTTTTAAAGGCACCAGTCATATGCTGCTAGTATGTATATCCTCTACAGTTTAATGTTTGGAGCATTTCAGTTTTTCTCTTCATTTCATGTCCAGATAATTGAAGCCTGTATAATTGAAGTAGTACTGTATTGTGCTTGTAGCAAGAGAAGTTGATAATTAAATTGTGCCTAAGTGAAGAGCTTGCTATTTGAGTTTATGGTCTCTTGCCATGTCAAAACTAGAATAATGAAAGTTATTTCTTAAGCCAACTGCCAAAACACACACTCAAATATTTAGTTGGGCTGGGTGGGAGGTTAAAATTTAATATAATGAGCTCAAGCCTAAAGAGGCCATCCACTTCAGG